GAAACCAGAATGCAATAGTACATACGTACACCAAGGCCACACAGTCTTCAAAACTGTTTATTCTAATAATAAAAATGTTTAGAAAAGAGGTCTCAAACTCTAATTGTCTTGGGGCCACTGCTGCTATTGTCATCTCATAGGAGGGCCACTGCAACGTTCAAGTACTACAGGGAAGCACAATATTGAAATTGAAACTGATACTGAAAATATTTCCATTACTAACTTTCATCAATCAACAAATGAAGGCCCAGAATGCTGCTCTCTTCTCATCAACCCTTTGACCTTTTATTTTGTGCCAAACAAAATGCATTCTTTCAATAGAATTGTGTTTTTAATTGTGTATGAAGGGCTAATTTAAATTGATATGAAACATGAAAAAGTCACGTGGCGGGTCTGATCTAAATCAAAATACACATACTGATAGACAACGATGGTGATGTGACAGACAGGATCTTTAAAGAGCACCTAAATTCAGGCTTATTTAAATGGGTCAGAACTGGTGCTGGTTAAACACAGGAGGACTTTCAGTGCAAGACTCATTCCTCTCAGAGACACCACAGAGCGCCACAGGAAGTTATTCTTGCCTGTGTCCATCAAATGTTTCAGCTCCTCCCTCAGAGTGTTGGATGCACAGAGGAGCTGACTGGACCTTAAAAAATGCAATACCCAGATTAATGTGCAATACTCTCCATTGTTTCATTAGCTGACTTATTCATGGATCCAGTTCTCAGCATTATTAGTACGCAGTATTTATTCAGTACACTGCTGTTATATATTGCAGTATACATATATATATATATATATATATATATTTGTTTTTTTAAACTATTTTTTGGGGCTTTTTATTGCCTTTATGATAGTGACAGCTGAAGATAGACAGGAAAGGGGGACAGAGAGAGGGGATGACATGCAGCAAAGGGCCGCAGGTCGGATTCAAACCATGGGCCACTGCAGCAAGGACTCAGCCTCGGTATATGAGTCGCCAGCTCTACCAACTGAGCTAACCGGCGCCCTGCAGTATACATATTTTACTATTTATCTTATTTTCTATTTCTTTTTATTATTGTTATATACTGTAGTATAATGTACATATTTTAACACATATTCTTATTTTATATTGTTAATATTTATTAGATATATTGTTGTTATATATTGTAATAATATGCACATACTTGTTCTTATTTCTATTTCTTATAATTTCTTTGTTCAGCAACTTGACCAACCCCCCCGCTGTGATTTGTGATTTTGGGCTACATAAATAAAATCTGACTCTTGGTATGATATTACATAAAACATCATGTATGGCATATGTGAGAAATTTGATAAAAACACAGCAAAGAGTGGATGAAATTGGCAAATGCATGCATTGTGGGTTTGTTTTTCCAAGGTAGATTGAAACTAGGGAATCCAGGGATTTTGCCTTGAAAAATGTGAAAGTTGAAAGTTACAGAGTTGTGTGTCAAAATGCTGAAGTGCTTTATAGGTGGTCACATGGTGACACTGTCTGCACCAAAATCCTCCCTGGCCTCTGACCTAACTTTCAATGAAATCTGTAACCTTGTGTGAAGATAAAACATTAGTTCTCTTCCTTTCCCCCTGCTTTTTAGTTCATCATCACCATTAGGTGTCAGGGGATATTGTTAGTTGGATTCATCACTACGACACCTTTAACAGTGCACATAATCATTAGACCCATTTCTGACATAAAAATATAATTCTAATATTAAAATATTGATTAGTGCAGCCTTAAAACTCAATTTTGACACATCTAAGGCTAATGCTGAATCATCAATCAACTGAGAAAGCTTTAAACTCTGCGCTCGCTGTGCAGTTACGTCCCCAAACTGGACAAATCCCACTTTGAGCCGCTTAGATAAACCGAGGCTCTGATCTAACATTTCCTCATCTCACCACACTGAGACAGTAGTGACAACACAGCCCACATCTGATTCACTTCTGACAGGCCTCCACCGAGCTGTCCATCAAAACCAACAAGCCCTGTTAGTGTCTGCTGCAGTGGGATCGCAATGTTCCCTCCCTCATGGTGACATTTGTATCACACCAGAATCCACAAGCATCTTCTCTCGTATAGCAGTAAACCACATGCTCAAACACTATTACAGGCACGTCATAAGAATGCAATGCTGGGGAAGAACAATGTGAGGCATTTGTAGAGGAATAAGCCATGGCAGAAGTCCAATAAACAAACAAGAACTTCCTGCTGCATGCGTCCTCAATGGGAGGAAGGAACCACAACCCTTACCCTCAGGGCTCTAAGTGTGTGTGTGTGTGTGTGTGTGTGTATGTGTGTGTGTTTCAGTGAGAGATACAAACTGAAAGACACAAAGACAGATTAGGATTTACACAAACTACTGTACACATCCTTGATAGAGCCACTTAACATGCCAAATTTAGTATAAAGTGCTCAGGTTTTCAGTTCCCAGGCCTCCCTGTACCTCTTTATACTATTTTCCATAGTGGTGCTGTCTCATGCTTATTGATCGCTGTAGGGATCAATAACAGGAAGATCAAAATGCAGCGCCAGCTATGGACCAGCAGCTCTGGAGACAAGCAATACCATAGCAGTCAGAAGTCAGAATTCCAGCTTGTTTACTAAATGTGTGCAGTGAATGGAAAAAAAAAAACGGCCAACCATTGCTACTCACGACCATACATATTTAAATTATAGCTAATTTACTGCCCACATAATCGCTGTTTGCAGGTGAAACCATGCTAGCGAGGTTGTGCTCAATTTCCAACACAAACAAAGTTTCTTTGAAGTGTGGTTTGAAGAGGTGAATTCGGCTGCATTCACTACCGTAAGACTCAGACATCCCACAAGCAAGTCAGACACGCAAAGGAGGATCTCAAATTAAAGAAAATGCCAATTATAAATGGCGGGATGCACAAGCGGTGTGACTATTGATGTGTCTGTGTTATAGCTAATGCATGTAGTTTTCTCTTAAAGGTAGTGATGAAGAGCTAGTTACCTGTGAGCGTATGTAATGTGTAATTGTATGAATGAAAAGTTGAAGGGTCACTTCACCCAAATGACAAATCAAAGTTAAAGGTTAGCAGTTTGAAGGCATGATAGATCAGATTTTGTGTGTCCAGGTTTCCAGTTATTAGAATTCAATGGAGGTTACTATGCAGCTCACAGCATTGACAAATTACATTTAAATCTCTCAAAACCAAACCTGAAGCTTTAAAACAGCCGAAGAATACTATGTTTCAGCGCTTGCCCACCCTTCAGCCTCCCACATTATTTTCAGTATGTATGTACAGCAGATGAAAGTTGGAGTTTAGTCAGTCGTGCGGGAAGAAGAGGATTCTAATCTGCTTTAATAACACAGTAACGTAGGAAGGGAATGAATTAACTGCCCCATAGCAGCAGACAGAGTCTACCTCACTGTCATTCACTACAGAGGTGTTCTGTGTCCATGAGGCCTGTTTGCCATGTGCTGGAGATGTTTCTGATTTGAGTTAAACACAGACAGGAAACCATATGTCTGAGCTCTCCAGCATGGCTACACAACCACACACATACGCACACATACACACACACACACACATTCAGAGGCTGAGACAGACACGTAATTTTCTTCTCAGCACAGCGAGAGGCAGAAACCAAACACACAGCACAGAACAGAACGCACCCAGCTGTGTGTCTGTGACCACACTGAGGATTCCCCACTCGTTGTTTACGTGTGATGCAAACACCGCGTTTCCACTTCCTGTTTGTGATGACGACGCACTCTCCATAAGACAGTAGCAACCATAATGGGACCTAAAAGCACACCCACGACTGAAATTCATGAACAGCTTTACATGCCAAAATACACACAGAGTTTCCTTGTCTGTGGTTGGAGCTAAAGTCAGAGAAGTAGGAGGAAGAGGGGGAGGGGGTGAGAAGATGACAACAAAGAGATGATTTACTGATAAATTAAAGAAAGTAGGGCCAAATAGACAAGTGGTTAAACATAGAAAAAGATGGCGAGGCAAAGAATGCCTGACACAAGATCTTGTTTGCTCATTAACATATGAGGAAAGGGTGGACATGTATTGCGGTGTTAAGCAAATGATGGCAGTTTTTGATATACTGTGCAGCTGTCTGAACAGATAACAGGCTGATTTTATGGTCGGTCGACCAGATATGCTATAACGGATGTGTGAACAATATCAAAATGAACTTTAAAGCATTTAATAATAAAAAAAATAACAGCTGATGGAATTTAGGGGGCCGAACAGAATTACTTCAGACTTATCGTTAAAGCTGAGTCTTCAGCATAAAAATTGTAAAGCACATCATGATTTGAAGCAACCTGGCCAAGAGGCAGCATGTATGTAGAAAGCAGAATTGGTCCAAAAACAAACCTTTTAAGGACACCACAACTTAACTGAGTTGAAGCCAGAATGAAAATAGATAAAAACACGATTACAGTTCCTGAAAGAGACTGAGATGACAAAAAGACAATTTCAAAATTCCTCTAAAGAAATCGCAATGCGGTTTGTGATGTTGTCAGGTAGTTTTTGCAATGAAATTGCAGAAAAAGTTTTTGTATAGTTAATTAAAAATTGTTCTGGTGAGAATGAAATTGCCAGGATTTTGGTGGTCTATGGCTCAATGTTTTGCGTAGGGGACTTTAATTGTAAATTTGAATTGTTGATCGCAACACCAAAACTTCCTGGAGGAACTGGCTTTTTAAAAAAATGAAACAAAATATTTGTGAGCAGTTCTTCAGGTGCCACAGGTACTGGTTATGTCCTCCGCTCTAATCAAACCAACAACAACATTATGATTATGCAACATCCGCTAAAACAATGAACTGAAAGATGCTAAAATGCACCACAGAGCTGTGGGGAAGAGATAATTCTCTGTGGGTTTGTCAGTACAGTGACCCCTTTCACCTTACTCACAGTCAATTGATCCAAGGTTGAAATAAATATATTGATCAGGGCAGCTTTAACCTCATTAGAGCATGCTAGTTTTGTGTACTCACTCGGGGAGAATAACAGTATGTCGTTACACTCCTCTTCTTCAGTACAGGAGCAGAAGTGAGCCATCCCAGTTGTCGTGTTCTTCTCCTTCATTACACAGGTGGAGCTGTTGTAGTCGTCCAGCATAACGCCATACAGCGGCATAGACGGGTCATGGCAGAGCGTTTCAATGGAGAAGGCTGTCTCATTTTTCCTCCTAGGAGACAGAGAGAGCAGAGATGTAAAACATGTAAACATTAGGAGCTGTCTAGTTATCAGTTAATCACATCTAAGAGATGATTTCTGCTCTCAGGTACCTACCAGATAGCGACACAGACCTCGCTGAAGTCCATACAGATGGATGTGATGGAGCAGTTGGACATGCATGTTCCTGTACCACTACAGGAGGAAAGCTCCAGATCACAGAACTTACAAAGCTGAGGCATAGGGTAAAAAGAGGGCATACCTGCAGAACACACACAAAAGTATCCATCAGGTTGGCTTCATGTTTCAGGCATTTACTATTATCACACCGAAAACACAGCAATTGTAAATGCCAGTTCTCTGATTCTTGGTTCACAGCAAGTCACTCGTGGTCATATGAAATTTGCTGTGGATATTCATAGTCTCCAGAGGATGAAACCTACATTTCCACTTCTGTACCAGAGATTCTAATGAACTCATTACCATAACTATCTGAGCACATTCACTTTGCCCAAAAGATGAATCCTTTCCTTTTGAGATGCTACATAAGCACAGGGGCAGATGTAAAAGTGTGGCATTGGGGTGGCAGGTGCCACAAATAATAAATGCCTAGCCACCCTAGCTGCCACATGACATGTTGCAAACAAGTTAAACTAATTAATTAGATTAATTTTGAAAATGACGTGTTAAAAAACTCAGATAAAAACAAATAAAACATTATTTAATGATCTCTTATGACCATATTTTAGAGTAAATTATAAACAGTGAATGTCTGAAGAGTTGGGAATAAAACAATTTATTAGTTTCTAATTCCATCTTTAGATATTTTTATTCAATTCTTTACTAATGTGCCACAATAATGTTTCTCAAGTTAAACGTCTTCATTTGGGGGCTTTTCCAAACAAATATTGATATATTTGAAGTAGCTCTGTGAATACGTTATTCATAAACCTACTTTAAACCTCATACTGTACACTCAGTAGGTTTGAACCACAGGACAGCACCAGCTTCCTGAAGTTAACCGGGTTAGGACTGCAAACAACGTCAACACAGACAACGACAACCAGGGCAACACCTCCACGGGGCTGCACAGCATTTTCCCAGATCAGCCACCTCAAATGTGCTGAATGGGGGCCTAAGGAAACCATCGAGCCATTCACAAGTAGGCCATGACCACACTAAACGCTCAACACAGACAACCACAGCTGAATCAATAGGCAGCCTGTGCCAAGTTACAGCAATTTCTCACATCAAACACATTTAGATACATAACCAAAAACCTCATGCAATCTTTTAAAATGCCTTCAATAAGATGATGCAAAAGAGATTTCCTGAGAGACGCAGCAAATCAAACTCCATCTTTTTTTAATTAATTCATCAAAGACGGGATGCGGAGTGTTTTCTAATCTGATTTTCTGGAAGTAAGAGATGACAAATCTGTTAAATGTGAAGTCAAATCCATCTAAACCACCATCCAGCATGACTACCCTGGCTAATTATAAACATAGGCAGATTCCACGTGGTCTTGTTCTCGCTTACGAGATGTTCTTTCTGTGTTTTATAGATGAAATTCATGATCCAGAACCTTATATTAGAGGAATAATCATCCCTGAGATATGGTTACACTGTTTGATATCATCAACTCGGCTGGTTGCGAGGTATTGCGTTCGGTATAGTAGGTCGTGTCCTGCCTGGGCTGGCTGTATAATCAGTACAATCTTATCCCTGTCATTCTCCTTAGCACGACTTGAGCCGCCTACACCTCTCTGATCTCCCTCTGCTCTGTGACCTGTTCAGACCTGCCTCTCTGACTTCAAGTCCCCTGAAGGAACTTTGCAAGGAACTCTAAGGTTGTAGAGCTTAATTGTGCCTTTTTAAACTACATTTTCGGATCTAGAAAGGAAAGGAAGGGCGGACTTACAGGGCGGGATAGAAGCTCTGTGTACAGTATGCAGGTGTTGTGGTGCAGCACGTGGTTTTAAGAGTTGGAGAAACCCTCCCTGATCTGGGAGGTCTGAGTTTGAGCCTCCGTGTCGCCAAGCATCTGCCCCAGTTCAGCTTCACTGAGCAGGACACTGAATTCCTTCCAGCTCTGCACCATGTAAAGCAGCGTTCCCAACACTTCTGGTTAAAATGAAAAGCAGTGACGAGTTCTGGTTCAGGTCCTGACATCACCCAGGCTAGCAGCTGTTCCACTAGCTTATTTAGCTCAATGCAATTATTCATTGGGAGGTGCTTTCTTTGGTCTTTCTGACAGATTGAATTGTGTTCCTTGGCTTTAATGTTGATTTTCTAACATAAATGAAGCACCAGATACTACAATCTGTGATTTTCAGCAACTCATTTGTAACTAACTGTTTATTCCTTATCCATCATATCAGTAACACTTCTTTTCAATATTTTATCTCTGCTCTCTAAAAATGTCTGTCTCTTCATAACTTGGCTTACAGCCCACCACTTGCCTAGCCTCCATCTGTGAAGCTGGTGCTGTTTAACTGGTGATGGTTGGTATTGTGGGGAACGGCGCTTGCAACTTGTTGTAGGGCTGGATATTTAGCCATCAGACTTATTGCAAATGTCAAGGTCATTTGAATTAGGTTTTCTAAAAATATGCACAGGCTCTTTATCAAATATCAACATCTTGATAGCAGCAGACATGTTTTATGACTGGAGTAGGGGGCTTCAAGTGAACTATTTCAGTAATAGACACATTCCTGTACTGTAGGATTAGTTACGGAACTTGCACTATGAGCCACAGTGACATATTACATTATTAACATTTGAGTCAGAAACACTTACTCTGGACATGGTCAGAGCAAATGTTTAGATGTGGCAAAAAAATCTGGAAGGAGCGTTGGCATGTGCTTGTCAGCAGAGTAATAATGAGAATAGAGCTGCAATTAATCCATTACTTGTCAACTATTAAATTAATCCGCAACTATTTTGATAATTCATTGTTTTGAGTCAACTTTAATATAAAGCAGTTTATGTATACAGCACGTTTCATACACAAAGGTAAATTAAAGGTGCAGTAGTAGCAGTTAAAAACAAGACAGCTCAAGATAAAACACAATTCTGCAATGAAACAACCCACTTATAAAAATGATAAAAAGCATAATGAAAAAAGAGATAAAATGAAGAAAAGGAATAAAAATGAATAATAAGTAAATAATAAGACCTTGGGTTTTCAAAACATTTAGGTGAAAGCGCTTGAGAATTTAGTTTTCAGTCTGGGTTTAATGGTTGTGGCGTCCTAAGACCATCACGCAGTTCCAGTGCTGTTCTGCATAGTAGCTTCTCCTTTTTGACCCTGGATTTGACCCTTGGCACCACTAGCAATCCACTCCCTAGAGATCTAAGATGTCTCACAGGCCTATATAACTCAAGCACTGACTCCATGTATACATTTATAAACAAGTAATAAAGCTTATTGGCAACCAATGTAGAGTTAAGAAGTGGTGTGATGGGGGCTGAGCCGTTGGTTTTGGTCAGAAAGAACAAAAATATCTAGATTCTCTGATTTCAGCTTCTCAAATGTGAATAGTTTCTTTCGTCCGCTATGATAGTAAACTGAATATCTCTGGGTTGTAGACAACATTGGAGGACGAGTCTCAAGTTACTACAGTATATAACGAGTATGAGTGGATGTGAGTAGTCTGCTGATAGACACAGAACCAGCGATTGTGAAGCGTGAATGAAGCAGCAGATGTAAATCAGTTAATGCAAGCGCAACTTCAGTTCTCTGTCTAAACCATTGGTTAGCTCCATTAGCTCCCATAGAGTGAACTCAGTCAGGTAAATGTTATTAAGCTGTGCTGTGTGGATTGTGCTGCAGTAAATTCTACTTAAATGAGCCTTCATCAGTTCATATAAATATCTGGTCCAGAGTGGTAAAGTAGGCCTACATGCTCATACACCTTTGGACTCTACGGATTGAACAAAGAGGATGTCTGATATGACAGATAGACACTTCACCGTGATGAAAGGAGCCCCTTCCTCGCAAACAACAACAACAACAGCCCTCACACATCTGAAATCCAAGACATAGACAAAACAAGTGCACACAGCGCAGTCTGTGCTATCATTCAATCAACTGACGGCATGTCAGAGAACAGTAAACCCAGACCAGAGGAGGACTTCAAGTTCGACTCCCTCATGTCGTCCAACTCTACCGATTCTCCTTTAACAGTGTGTGTTTATATGGGGCGCGTGTGACACCCGATCACAGTCTACATAGGCCGGATTATTCATTGAACAGGAACCACAGTTAATATACTTTCAAGACACATTCCGTCACACACAGGCAGAGAGCGTGAAATAGCTCAGCGCTAACACCCACTCACAACCTCAGAGACAAATAAAACGTGTCGATTTAGTGCAGCAAAGTGCCTCAGAGAGTGAATGAAGCGGAATGAGTAATGGGGGTTGACTTACACTGCAGCCAGTGAGCTCAGTGAGTCTTTTATGGTGTTGATTAATCTTTGTTGGACTGTTGTTGATTACTGATTACACATTAAGAGCTCATTAACCGTCAGCTTTTGATTGTCAGACAGGTTTTGATAGATAGACTTTGGGTTGTGTATACACATAGATATTATACATTAATATCGATATAATGTAAACATGTGTCATATATTCAGCCTGTGCAAGGTGTGCATACATACATACTGTAATATATATACACACAATATATATAATATGTATACATATATATATATTATATTTGCTGGTAGAAGATGAACTCTGGTTGTCTTTGGACCCAGGCTATGTTGGCTTTTTTCTTTTCACTCTTTCCTGCCCTTTATGTACTGGCTTTTGCACACATGTCTTGTGTATAGTTTAGCTTAGCAACAAGACTGGAAGCAGTGGGGAAACAGGTAGCTCTGGCTTTGTCTAAAGAGAAAAAAACATCTCTAACATTCATAACAATTAGTGGTTTTAGGGGGAAGCAAGTGCTGTAAATATTACTTGGTGAACAAATGCCAGGAGCAAGCTGTGGTTTCCAAGTCTTGTCAACACAGTGAGGTCACCAGTGGTCTCAAAGAGTCAGTGACATGACGCTCAGTTCCGTGTTTCACCTGACAAAGTGTTGGAAGTGCAAAATACAACATGTTACTGTAGTAAGCAAACTTTAGAGAAGCTGTTTCCCCATGCTTCCAATCTTTATGCTAAGCTAGGCTAACCACACCCTGACTCCAGCCTCATACTTATCACAGGAGACATGTATAGATCTTCTCATACCAATCATGAAAAGAAAGGAAA